CAGTCACAGGAGCCATCCCACCACATCTCAGTAAGATCACAGCCCTGCAGGCATGTGCACAGGAATCCCACATCCTCCTGCAGATCCATGCCAGGAGGGCTCCTATGGCACTCAGTGCTGTTGAAAACATCTTCCTCAAGCCAATGCAGCCACTTCTCCCTGCTGCAGGCATCTGTCACAAAAGATTACCTGGTTATACAGCTCCTTCAGGGACTCATAGTACTTGGACCACCAATCCAGTTCTTCCAGCTCTGGTTTTTCTTCTTCATATTCGTCCTCCTTTACAAGCTTACTGATAGGAATTTTCTTCAGAGGAGCCTTAAAAGAACAGAGAAAAGCATTCAGAAGGAGGAAGTGACCACCCAGGACACCTACGCACCCTTCTCTAGTGCCCTGGGAGCCTCTGCCAAAGGCTCAGCTTTCAGGCAGAGCACAGGAGATGCAAAGCTACCTGCAGACCCAGTTTTGTGCTTTAGTACAAAAGCAGCAGTTTTCAAGACATGAGACAACACAGCTCTCCTCCCTGTGCCAGAGCCCAGACACGCCACAGTGCCAATGAACAGGCAGGAGAGAGGGGTGTTCAGGTCTAGAACAAAAACTGGTGGCTGAAACCTAACTCAGAACTTCTGAACTTTTTTTGTTTGTAACCTTCAGTTTGGCTTTCAAACTTCAAAACTTGCTGGGCCAAACACTTCACTCACCTTCACAAGTCTCAGGGCGTGAGTGCTGGCACCTGGGTCACCAGCTGCCGGGCCAATGTTTACCACAGTCTGAGAGCAAAGATGCTGGGATGAGACTTTCCGAGCTGAGATGAAGAGAAAGAGCTTCATGTTTCCCTGCATTTATTTCTGCCCACTGTTTCCTACTTTTTGGCCAGTTGTTATTCCAAACCCTTCTTGTTACCCCACCATAGTGTGATTGCTTTTAAAGCTTTTGATAGCAGACCCCGGAAAAATATTTTTGGAAATCCAAGTACAGTGCTGAGACTGGCAACTATCATCAACACGCTTGTTGCTGACTCCCAGGAATTAAGTTTTATGAGATACACCTTCCCTACTCAGAAATGACCCCAGATCTATCAATCCTTTGCTTCTTTCCCTTTGTGCTGTATATATTTACACACTTCTAGATCAGGAGCTCTGGCTGTTGCTATCACAGAGATATTTAGTGAATCCATTACCCAATGAACAGACCTTGACACAGTGATGCGAGAGATGCAAGAGAAGTGTAAACCTTTCAATCCTTGGTCCTAGTGGACCAGCTCCCCCAAAGCTGTCTCACTGGAGACAGCTCTCCAGCCCGGATACAGGGGGTTGAAATAGGTGAATGCAATAGTCCTTCCCAGGGTAAACACCTCCAATTCTAGACACAAACCTTCCGGAAGGACAAGTTACTATCTAGTATCAAGCCCCAGCTAATTGTCCTCCTGGAGTAAGACATCTTCACAAGCCATTCTCCCTCCTCTACTTTCTACAAATGTAAGGCAAACAGTGCCTGGGAAAGAGACCCCAAGAAGATGCCACATCCACAGATGACGAGTCCCGCCAGTGTGGTGGGGAGGCAAATGTTAAAGCTAACCTTGGAGAAAACAGTCTCTAAATTGCCCTTTGCCATCCCCAAAGAGGGATGCTAGCCCTTACACAGCACTCCATCACTTGGCTGCTGCTGCTTCCCAAACACCAGTCTGGAGCTGAGTGACACAGACCAGGATCACAGCCTGCTTCCAACCCTAACCTGCTCCATGCTGTACTTTTGCTGGGCATCTTATGGCTCTTAGGAGAGGACTTTGCTACCTGGCTAGGGGGAGTAAAAGGGCCAGGGATACCTGCCGCTGGCAGAACCTCCCTGCTGCCTCCATGGGAACCTTGCCATGCAGCTCACCTTTGGGTACATCTTCTGGTTCCTCCTCCAGCTCTCTGGGAGAGAATTTCATCACATCGGACACAACATGGGTACCCACCAACACAGTCCGCCCAAACGCCCGTTTTTCCACCACGAAGATGCTGAGGGGAGGGTGCAGGTAGACCTGCTCCGGGAGCTCCTGCAGAAGAACCATTCATGGGGAGCAAGGGTGTGGCAGCCTCACCACACGTGGGGAGGTCTAATGGTGCCTTGCTGCTCTGCCCAAAAACCAAAGCCTTGCAGTGACAGGTGATGCCTGAGTCTGCTCTTGGTGGGCAATTTCACAAAGGTTTTGATCTGCAGCTGAACCATGTGGCCACAGGAGAGCAACACCCTGGGGGCAGCTCCCCTCCTGTTACCTTGCCTCATGCAGACGGGCAGTGCACAGGTGCAGGATGGCCATGGTTCTCTCTGGCACAGCAGGACTCCCCTTCCCACTCACCACGTCCATGTATTTGACCAGTTCAGTGAAGTTGGGGTTCTCTTTGTAGGCCACAATCACCTCTGACTCCACCTTCTTGCCAGCACATTCTGTTATCACCTGAGGCTGATCCACCTCGAACAAGTTCACCTGCTTCAGGTCTCGCAGGCCCCAGAACAGGATCTGAAGCACAACATGAAGCAGCTTGGCTGCTCGAGACATCCCAGGCACGGCACAGCCACACAGCCTGCAACCCTGCCTGGTGCTGCCACCCCCTCACCCCACAGGACACAGACCACAGGAGAGTCATAAGGCCACTCTCCGAACCCAGCCACCAAACTGCTGAGACAGTTTCTCATTCATGTCAAGCACCTCCCTTTCTGACATGTGTTCAGGCCTCAAAGGCACATCTGAGCTCCAGACCCAATGCCCTCCCCAAGCTCTGTCCTCTGCACAGGCCAGCTCTGCTGTCTGCTTGGGGTAGCCCTCTGGGGAGGAGCCCAGTAGAAGGAAGCTCACCTCTATGTGAAACTCCTTCAGCACTGGGCGGATGCCCTCAGGGATGATGAACCGTCCAGCACAGGGGTCTCCCAGGTAGTTGGGCTCCTTGGGCTCCACATCCTCAGGCACTGACGGCTGAACAGGTGGAACCAGGGCACACCAAGTGATGAAAGTCATTTCTACTCCATGCCTTGCCCCATCTCCCTCCCCTCTTCATCTGTGCTCACAGGCACTGCCACTTCACCCTCCCTTCAGTTGAAAGCCAGATGTGGCTTTCAACGTGGAATCCTCTGGTGGGCCCCATGCAGCCAGCTCCTCACCCACACAGCTCTCCCCTGAGAGCTGGCAACCATGCGCGGCTTCCTACAAGCCTGTTACCTCCAAATAGCTGCTGTAATCCAGCTCAATCAGCTCAAAAGTGGCAATGAGCTCTCCCGCTGCTTTAGTGCCTTTGTAGAAATCAAAGAACTGCAAGGCAGGTTTGACATATGGCTCATCGACCAGCTTCACCTGTGGAACGGCAAAGGCCTGGCCAAGGAATTCAGGGGAGCCCTGCAGGAAAGCGGGAATGGGTCAAAGCACCCTTGTGTTATCTCACCACCTCAGAGAAAAGACCACCACTAATTCCAGACAATCTGGGACAGCACAAGATTGCTCTTCCACCCTTGCCATCCTCTGCTTTGATTTCCTCTGCTCATCTAGACGTATGAGCGTCAATAATGAGCTGGTCAAACAGAAGTAGTTCATTCCACATGGGGGCTCAGCGTCTCCTCCAGCATCTGCAGACAGAGACAGGAGGTCTGAGTGTACAACAGCCAGTCAAAACAAACCACAAGCACTTTGTAAAGAGAGTGAGGAAGCGTGGGCTGATGCCCTCTCCCATGCAGCCAAACCCAGCTGGCACCTAGCAGGAGGGGAGATGGTAAAAATGTGAAATCAGCACTTGAGGCCAACTAGCACATGCCAGTCAACCTTTGAGACCATGCTCAATGATTTGTCAAATGTTCCCTGAACATAGTCACATTGCCCAGAGCACACAAATACCTCATGCCTGGAGTTACAAAATTTCCAGGAGGACTGCCACAGCACTGGCCTTCAACATGGCAGTGAGGATATGATTTTTCTCTCCCCAAGTCCCCAAGAAGGCAGAAGCAAGAGCATAAGTGGTCTCACCCTGGTAGTCTGGCAGTAAGTTGAAAACACTACTCTCGCAAATGGATCTGAAAGGCCATTGTCATCTGCAGGGAGGATCCCTCGAGCCTGATACAGATGGGCTCGGAGCTGGAAATAGCTGAAATCTGGTAAGAAAAAGAGAAGAGAGATCCCAGTTCCCCAATTCAGCCCTGTGTGAGGCCAAAAAATGCATTAAGAGGGCCAGCCGGGTAGGAGAGGGCACAAAGAACAGGTACCACTTCTAGGGGCACTCACCATGGTTCTCAAAAAGACAGCACATCTCAAAAGGTTTGGCCAAGCAAGACAAGCTCAGCAGGCTCCCTGGACACCTCTGGGAAGGACATGGCATGTGAAATGTGCAGTGAGCTGCTGTGGGGAGCACCACCAGGCTTCAGAGAAATGTTAGGCTTCATGCCCATTGCCAGTTTGGCAGCACATTCAGTGCTTACAAAGCACCCACCCTGCCTGCTGCTCCAGCTGTGAGGTTGCAAGCACATTCTTGTGAGAGAAAACTGGACCTGCCTGTCCCAGTCATGCTTTGGAGATGATGTGGAGATGATAGATTGGGTCCTACTCCTTGGACACTGACCCTGGGGCAGGGCCCCTCACCTCCCTGCTCTTCTGCTTACAGTTAAGCCATGGAAAAGTGGCATCTCCACTCACCATCCCTGCTGAGCCAGCTTGGAGGACGGTATGCCAAGAACTGGGCTATCTCCTGTCCACTCTCAGAGAGGTACTTGAACTCCTCAGGCAGTTCCGCCAAACAGTTCTTCGCATGTTTGGTTACCCCAAGCCACATGTACAGTTCCAGTTTGGCAAAGATCTCACCAGTGTGTAAGCCAGGGACCTGAAAGCACAGGAGGTTTTGCAGGTTTCCCATCTCAGCCATGCCCGAATAGCAGAGGAGACAGAGCACCACACTGGCAGAGGCAAAAGGCAGTGGGGGATCAAGCACTGCTTCCTTGTGAACTCCAGGATTTCAGGAAGGAGGTCTGGGACCGAGGAGGGAGAAGCAGAGTGAAGCAAGCAAGAGCACACTGCTTTGGTATAAACCCTACCTTCATAAAAACAGTCTGTATCTTCGCACAGTCCTTGCCTTTCTCCTCTTTGACTACTGAGTAGAGGATGTTCTGAGCAGGAACTCTTGCATATGCCACACGCCTGTTGTTGCTGAGCATCCAGATGAGTACATCAGGAAGCGTGCACTGGGGCTGGAGGGAGGAGAGAGAGGAACATCACAGCAGAGGAACAGCGCATATCTTGTGCTCCCTCCACTGGCACAGTGAAAGCTTCATCTCACAGAAAGGACTGCTGGCTGAATGGTGCTTTGGAGATCCAGAAGCAAATGAAGGCCCTAACATTGGACACATGCTTCTGAAAGTCTTGGCCCTTCAATAGGGCTCTGCGGGTGTCATGGTTTAACCTCAGCCAGCAGTTGAGCCCCACGCAGCCACTCACTCGCTCCCCCTGGTGGGATGGGGGAAGAGAATCAGCAGAGAGGAGAGTGAAGAGTGAGAAAACTCGTGGGTTGAGATACAGACAGTTTAATAGGTAAAGAAAAAGCTGCACACACATGCAAAGCAAAACAAGGAATTCATTCACTACTTCCCAGATTTTCCCATCACAGGCAGGTGTTCAGCCATCCCCAGGACAGCAGGGCTCCATCACACAGAACAGTGACTTGGGAAGACAAACACCATCACTCTGAGTGTTTCCCCCTGCCTTCCTTCTTCTTCCTCCAGATTTACATGCCGAGTGTGATGCCATACAGTGTGGAATATCCCTTTTCCCCCTGCCTTCCTTCTTCTTCCTCCAGATTTACATGCCGAGTGTGATGCCATACAGTGTGGAATATCCCTTTGGTCGGGGGGGGTCTGCTGTCCTGGCTGTGTCCCCTCCCAGCTCCTTGTGCCCCCCCAGCCTGCTCGCTGGTGGGGTGAGGAGCAGCAAAGGCCTCGATGCTGTGTGAGCACGGCTCAGCAGTAACGAAATCATCCCCGTGTTATCAGCACTGTTTTCAGCACAAATCCAAACCACAGCACCAGAGGAGCTGCTATAAAGGAAATTAACTCTACCCCAGCCAAAACCAGCACAGCAGGTTTCTTGGAGGGATTTGCAATCCACCTTGTTTTTCATCACAAACACCAGTAGGGGGAGAGGGAGCCCCCATGAGTCTGGAGAAGTGGCATTTTACCCCACCCCTTTGACATGAGCCCAAGTGCTGTTCCATGGGAAGGAACCACATTATCTGCCATCCCAGCAGCATGGGTGCCCAGTGTAAAGCTGCAGTTCAGGTTGAGAGCAGGACTTGCAATAAAGGAAATGCACAGATGGAAGCAATGACTTCTTTTAAACTCTAATCTAAATTCTCTTCCCTGTCTCAGTTTCCCTACCATTAGTGTTTCCATTTGTACTTGGTACTTGTACTTGCAGTTTTTCAGTACACAAGTAGCTGAAGCAATTTATTACTGATCCAAACCAAGACCACCAGGCTTCAAACAGCGACTAAAAAGGGCAAGTGTATGTGCAGGGCTGACTCTACAGAGACAGCAACATCCCCACCCAATTGCAAGGAGCAAAATGGGAGGAGGTTCCTCTGTCTTGGGGATCAGCTGCAGCCAGCCTGTGGACAGTTTCTCATCCTGGTGACGTGAGGGGTGACATCTTGTTCATGCTAAAGTCTACTCTCACATAGCTGAAGGTGTGAAAATGATTTTACTTCACTTAGTGAAAAACTTCTCCAAACTGCAACAACATCTGTCCACCTAACTCCAGCAAACATTGCATTCTGGTTTATGCTACATGAATGCACTGATTTTCTGGAGTTAATTTAAACAGAGCCAGTGTAACTCTGAAAATGGAGAGTCTCTGCTATGGATGCAATGCAAGTCTGAATTTGCAGAAAGTGTCCAGGGTTGGTTCCTGGTGGAAGTGTGGGCAGGGGTCCCAGGTGGCCTGGAGCTGGCCCAGCTCAGCTTCCAAGTCACTGCTGAGCTGCTTAGGCTGCTGCTCTGTCACCAACAGCCGTGCAAAGCTGCCAAGCCTTAGCCCTCGTAGGAGATTTTTCCATTACATAAAATACGGTAACTTCCAGCAGCTGGAACTTGGGATTTTACATAACAAGAAAAGACAGCAGAGGAAAAGCCCCAACTCAGGCTAGCGAGAGCCTCAGCACCCAGCCCAGCACCCTCTCCTTGCACATGCCCTCTCCTGCTCAGAATGTGGTGCCTCGGGAGCAGCTGTACCTCTTTCGCCATGAAGCGTAGCTTTGCCAGGACCTTCCTTGTCTCCTTAACCTTCTCCTTGACGTTGGCTCGAGACAGCCGCCGCCTCACACGGAGCCCCTGCTTGGCGTACAGGATCTGAACAGAGAGCAGGGCTGTTACACGCCTGGCCGTGACCAGGCGTGCCACACTGGCCCCCCTCATGGGGAAGTACCCCTGTGCCGATTGCGCCCACCCTGCCCCATCACACCCTGACCTCCACCACAGCTCACCCCCCAGCTGCTGAGAACAAACTTCCGTGAACCTGTCACGAGCAATTTAGTGAAGGGTGCCAGAACTGGAGACTCCAGTAACTCACCAGCTCTGCCTGTACCAGCCAGTAACAGAAGTCTATGAGCTTTTGCATCATTTGAGGCAGAAAGATGTATAAGGAATAAACATTTCAGAAGATGGTCATCTAAGGCTCCAGATAGTGCCTGGGGAGGCTTTGCACAAGGGGCAACTTGAGGCCACAGAAGTACAGGAATACAAAGATGCAGGAAACTGGAAGACAGGGCTGGGCTTTCACATCCATTAGTTGATGGTGTATGCATCCGAGGAGAAACTTAGTGACAAACCAAAACTAATAGTGAAATGCAGAAGGAATGCAGGGTGCAAACCCAGTATGGACTGACAAGGCTGCAAAACTCACCTTCTGGGTTGGTTCTCTCTTTCAGAGAGTCTCAGACTTACCAGAGTACCTTCACTATAGCTCAGGCGACAATATGCAGGGAGGCAGAGGGAAGGGAGCTGGGACCCAGACATGCCTAAATTGTTTCCTGCTGCTGTCATTGTTTTTTGGTCAGCCTTTCGAAGCTTTGTAGTCTGATGGGGACTGTGATTACAGCCATGCTCTGCTGTGGTGTGAGGATAATTGTGGTCTCATTTAGCTAGCTGGCCTTTTCTGCAGGATTATGAGTGCTTAGATGTTGCCCTCTCTGGGGACAGGCAAATGGATGGCTGCTGTAGATGTGCTGGATGGGTACCCAGCCTATGGGCTGAGTTTCCAGAGGCAGCGGGTCTCAGTGAGCTTCCCTAAAACTTCCTGCAGGAATAGCCTGCACCAAAAGGCTTCCAGCAACCTACTGGGCAGCAACATGCATGTGCTCAACCACACGTGCCCCACAGGAGAGGAAGGAGACGGCATGAATCTGCATGAAACTGGAGGCAGCCATGGCCAGTATGTGTCTTTGTTTCCTGTGCTGGAAACTGTAGTGCTGGAAACTGTATTGATCTGAGCAGAAGTGCCAGATGCTGCAGTAAAAGCCTACAACTGATACCATGAGTCTGTGCCCCAAGTTTCTTTCTTAGCATGGTCCTCCAGAAGCATCCCCCAGAGCAGGGCTTGCATGGGCTCCCACCACCACCACCAAGTCCCACAGCTTACAATGTTGCACGTCAGGTATTTCATCCGACATCTGTCAAGGTTGTTTGGATGTGTCATGATTTTTCTCTCTGCACTGAGGGAATATTGCCTGCAATGAGAAAAGCAGCACAGGCTCTGCATGCCCAGTACCCAGCAGGCAGAGCACAGCCCACGAAGCAGGGGCACAAGCTCCAAGTCCCTGGTACTAATCCAATGCATCAGAACCCCCCACACTCTGCAATGCCCTCTCTTCTGCAAGATTTCTGATTTGGAATGTACACTGAGGATTGCTCAGCACCTGAGGCTCCCTCTCTACCATCGCTATAACAAGACTGGGGATGGAAGTGCATATGCGACCCCACCAGGCAGTCACAGTATCTAAACGCTAGTCTCTTGTCTGTGTAATTGAAGAGAGTGAAGGAACTGTCCTAACATTTAGGAAACACCCAGAAGTCCAGGAACATCGAGGCTGCAGTGTGTGACCCCTGTGCTTCCCAGGGCTGGGGTCTCCTCTTCAAGCTTGAAGAGCTACAGGATCCTTTCTTCAAGTCCTCCTGGTTTCCTTCTGCTCATCCACCTCAAGAAGGTGAGAGAGCAGGCTGCACGCAGCCCAGGCAGAACATGAGATGACCTCCTAACCTGAAAACAAGAAACCTGAGGAAATCAGGGACGTGCTAACCTGCATCCAGCTACAAATTCCTCCAGCACCTCTCTGAGCCGCTCTTCTGCTTTAGCCTTTGGCCTTCTCATGAGCTTCTCCACATCGTTCAGGCCCTGCTCCTGTGAGGAAAGCACAATGTTCAGGGAGCTTGTGGCTGTCTGCAGGATCAGAGTGAAACATTGCAAGGAAGTGTTTGACACAGATGGCTTGTGGCCTTCTGCAGAGTTAGGGATTGTGAGAGTGCTGCAGGCCAGCGCTGCTGCTCTGGATCCTGAGGATAACCTTAACACTAATTGTTACAACACCTTGTGTCTCAGCCCTTGAGCAGCCACTGAAACACACTGGCAAGCTCTGCTTTCAGATTTCTAAGCCCAAAAGGGAAAGACGAGGCCATGGGAAGAGACGGCACCCCCTGCTGACGGCCCCGGGGCTGAGAGTCTACTTGCAGCAGCATCTCCCCAGCAGAGGAGCTTTTTGTCATGGATGCCATGTCACTCACACCTCCAGGAGACATGGCCAGGTTGCGGCACAGCACGGGCAGTGGCTCTGCACTCACTGCCCTACCCCACACATCTAAAGGGCAGGTGAGACTGAGCCCTGCAAGAGACAGGGACTCACATGGAGGGTGAGGATGTTTAAGGCAAACATCTCACAGAGCAACTCCATGTGCTACAAGGAGAGCACACTAGAATGGACCGTGCCACAGACAGACACTCTGAGCCCACCACCAGGCGCTCTGCCAGCTTGACAATCCAGTTGGAAATGCAGAGTCTCCAGGTGTGATCCTCCCAGTAGCTCCACACGTACACGCAGGGTTTCTCATGCGTCATGGGCAGGCAGCTGTATAACCTGAGGGCAGCAGGCACAGGAGGTTATAGTTGCTATTTGCAAAAAGCACATACCACGTCACAACGCAGCGCTTGCTCAGCCAGCACAGGGAGCAGTGTTTGAGCTCTCTCCTTCTCACAGAGAATCAACTGTTTTGGTCCCTGCACTTTGCACATGGATGCAAGCTGCTGGATCTGCCCTTTGCCATCCCAAACTAGCACCCAGGGTTTCTAGCAGAGAGAGCAACACATGCCCAGATGAAAGACTGATAGGAGCGTGAGATGCTGCTGAGATTTCTTGCTGCTATGAGACAGTAGTAGCAGGCACAGGAGTCACAACACAAACACTAAGACATTTCCAGGCCTGTGGGACAAACCAGGCAGTGTTCCCAGAGCAAACATATAATCAGAAGAGCTTGTGTGTGTGTCTTGCCTTGCCCAAGATAGGACAGCATGTACCAGAGTACTCCTCTCCTTCCTCCTCACTGGAATCAAGCCCTTAGGATGCTGCTTGTTAATGAGAAAAGGGACTGCTGTTATTGATGGGTCAGTTTCCCTGGGACCCTGTCCTTGGCCACCTGCACACACCAAGCAGACACCATAGGGCCTATAAGGCTAATGGGCCATGGCAAGCTGCACAGTTACAAAGAGGAGAAGCACCTGCACAGCGTTTGCATTGCTGAGCAGACCTCTAATAACATGTGGCATAACCAGCCTGGGAAGCTGGGGCAGGACCATGGCAGGTGACAAAGAAGGATGGAGAAGACTCACCTGTCATAGTCCATGGGCTCTGGTCTCTGGCTCTTTGTCACCGACTTGTTCAGTGCTACTGAAACTGAGGCCAGAACTTCAACATCCAGCTTGTCATCTGAACCAAGGTCCAGCAAAGGCTGCTTTTCTTCTTTCACTTCTCCCTTTTCCGCTTTTCTCTGTACTTTGGTCACAACCTCTTCAGCTTTGCCATAGTTTCCTTGAATTTAAGCATTAAACAGTAAACAGATAAGTGGGATCACCATTAAAGTTTGCTAGCTTGCAATGTCAGTGCAATCATCCTGCCAAGAGAAGCACATAGGCATGCACTGCTTTTGGAACTAGCAGTTCGGTAGGGTCTAACTATCAGAGCATCAAATGGACAACCAAGAAGTCTGAGAGGGAGCTGGGCAATTGCAAGGAAGTCCTTGTGTATGCCTTCAAGTTCCACCAGCTCCACCCACCAAGTGCCTGCTAACTGCCATCTACACATCTACATGGGTCAGCAGCAGTCACTCAGGAAGACTTCTCAGCATCAAGCATCTCCACCCATCAAGCTTAGCAGGTGGGGGCTTGGACCTGCTCTCCTACCATTGTTTCCCCATCACCCACCGTCACAGCCCTTCAGCACCACATGGTCAGCCCCAGTATCCCAGCTTCCCCTCCTCTGCTACCCTTGCTTGCTCCCAAAACCTTCTACCTCTTCTTACCCCCACTTCCCAAGAGAGCTTCAACTACTCGCCCCAAATAGGCTGTTCATACAAATACTGCAAATCTCCAATCCCAGAGAGCATCCAGACTTTTAAGGTAATTAAAGCACCATGTGCACTCCCTGGCCTCATACCCCATCCTGCCTGAGTTCCTGTTTCAGGGGCACGAGCTGTGCAAGGGCTGGTACCTTAGGACTGCAGTGCTGACTTGGGCTGTCAGAGGGAGATTCATACTGTTCCCATAGTTTCTGGACATGGGGCCCTGGGGAATACCCACCTATAGAGACTTCAAAGCTGACAGGCTTGTTGTTGAGAGAGGAGTTCATCACAGTGGCTTCAAAGAAGGCAACAAAGAGGAGGAATTCCTCCTTCCTCCCCAACGCGTTCTGAGCAAGGAGACAGAAATCAGACTGAGAGCCTCATGTGCCAAAACACTGCCTCAGCAGAAATTTGGAGAGTACCAGGATATGGCCAGTGCCTGCCAGCCCTCCCAAGGGACATCAGTGGAATGCTGCTAAGGTCACCACTGCTGGGCTGCTGAACACAGGACAAGTTTTCTTGGAAATCCCAGGGGGTTGGTGCAGAGCCATGGCTTTGACTGATGCTTGCATTAAGCCACTGAGCAGGTTTGTAGGCTAAGGGAAGGCTACTGTACCAGTGCAGCTGCATCTTGCCAGCCTCTGCCAGGCCAAGTGGAGACCCAGAACCAGCTAACAGCTCCCTAGCTCCAGAGGGGAAAAAAGTACATGCTCAAAGCTAGCTGTGCCCTGGGAATAACACCCACATGAGAGCCCTCCCTGCTCCAGGAAGGCAGCTCACATGGGGATGCCCCAGCCTTACTGTGAGAGGCAGTTTTGGGGCAGCGGGTGTGGCCTCGACCCTTGCAGGAGCTCACAGGGCCCTAGATAGCCCCCAGTGATGTGCAGCTGGGTTTGCTCCAGTACTGTTACACCAGCAAGTGATACCACTGCCTCATCCCCATGAAGCCTGTGCATGGGTCAGCCATGCCAGCATGGCAGGACTCACCTCAGTGAGTGGATGAAGCTCTTCCACCTCCACAGTGACCTCCCCAGGCTGCACAGCCTCCTGAGAGCCGCCAGTCTCCTCTTCTCCCTGCAGCTGGCTCAGTTCTTTGGCTTTCTCTTTGGATTTCTTACTTGTCTTCTTCAGCTTCAGTTTGCTTAAGGCTCCTTTTGTCTTGTCCCCAAGCTTCCTCTCTGCCACACTGGGGCTGCTGAAGATCTCCACCGTGATGGCCATGAGGATGCGCCCGCGGTAGAAGATCCCCTCGCCCATGCCCTCGTTGAGGTCCTTGTGGATGTCCCGCAGAGCCGAGTTCTGGGGGGAGCCATACAGGTTCACCCAGGTTGGGCCAAATGTGGGGTTAAAGCCTGCAGCGACAGAGACAGGGTCTAATTACACCACAGGGCACTGCTGCAGAGAGACCTTCACCCAGGAAGACAGTCCAGGACACTGGGGTGTGAGTGTGCTTCAGCCACTTCTGCTTCCCACCTCCAGGAGACCACCATGGCCGAGCAGAGGGTGCATGGCATGAGGCTACCCAGGACGCCCTGCTGTAGGGGAAGCCGTGCCAGGGCCTCACCATTCCTGCCAGGGTCTGAGATCTGCTGCAGGTCAATGTAGTGTTTACTGATGGCCATGTCACCAACATTAGCATCATCTAGCACCTGGACTTTTATCTTCCTGGCCAGAGGTGGGAACATCTCGATGAAGCTGATCTGCTCATTCCACTCAGGCTCAGTGGTGCTGGTCTCCACCGAGGTTTCCCCCTGAGAAAGCGTAAAAGCCACACAGTCCCAGCTGGTAGCCAGAGCAAGGGCTGCCTCAGAGCCTCTCTGCAAATGGCATGTCCTCCTGTCCCACCTGCAGATTGCTCTGGAGGTGGCATCATCCCTGCTCCTGCCTCCATCCCAGCAATTGCTCTCTCTGTTTCACCAAGGGGGGCTGTCCCAAGGCCCCGGGCTGTGCCCTGCACAGCCAAGGGAAACACTGGAAGCAGACCCAGAGGTGTCAGAGGGTTACCTGGGAGCACACCCAGACCCACCAGGCTGCCTGGGGACTGATTGTCATCTTACCGGATATCACAGGACAAGAAACCCTGGCCTTGGGTGCAAGAAAAGGGCCATTACCTCAGCAAACTCTCCCGAGGGTGTCAGGCTGAGTCCAGCTTGCCACAGAGGACTTCTGCACCAAGATTTACTCAACCCTCCCCCTATGTTTAGCGATATGAAATCTCTGCCTGCATAGCCAATAGCTCAGCCAGTGTCTGTGCTCAGAGCTGGGGCTGTCCCCCGTGCAGCTCTCTGCAGGGACAAAAGTCCCACAAAAGCCTTCTCATCCAGACACCACACATCCGTGGCCACACATCTCAGGCCACAGCCAAAGGCAGAAAGACTTGTGGTGTCCTTGTCTGTCTCTGTTGGGATTGCTGTGTCCCGTGGAAGCTCCTGGCAGCACCAGCCCAGCGCATGCTGCCGCACAGCCAAGGGAGGATCAGCCTGGCCCCACGCAGACCCCCCCGGCAGACTCACCTGCTGCCCACAGAACAAGACTTGCACGTATGGGTCAATAAAGACTTTTTTCTCCCCTATGATCTTGGAGAAACCACCCATGATGCCTGAACTCATGCTGGGCAGGCCCTCAGCACGATACAGCTTGATGCAGACCCTGGCCCAAGGTCTCTCTGCAGGGACTCTCTTAGGCAGCAGCAAGTTCCTGAAAGACAAATTCATGTTCTGGCTCTCTCTTGGAGCCCAGGAAACATGATGCTGGGAAATGCTCTGACTGACAGGAGGTTTGAATCCTGCCTCTCAACACCTCTCTTTCACTGGGTCTTAACACCTCTCTTTCCGTGGGTCTTTACTCATAACAAGAGGCAAAAATGAGGTAATAAAAGGCAGTGTGAAGAGAGACATGACTGTTTTTCCCAGAGACATGCAAGACTGCATTGCACCTACCTTTCAATGTCTTCATCCCGGTTGCTGGAGGAGGTGGGAAGGGAGCCCACAACATCCCCACGTGCAGTGACGGAGATGTTGCACTTCACAAAGCCTTTCACACCTGCCCGGGTATCTGTGGGGTCACTGATAACAGCCCACTTCTGGAAAAACCTGTGATCTGAGAGGAAAGGGAAGGAGTTCCCTGGGGAGATCCCAGGTTACCATTTCACATCCCAGCTACGTCTACACAAAGATTGCCCTGACCCTGCCTCTGAAGGTGCAGGAGGTATCACCAGTCCTCAGACAGCTGGGAGGAGAAGCAAGTGCTGGTCCTCATGTGAACTAAGTGCTTTAAAGACAGGGTCCTCACCAGATCCAGCAGCATGAAGGAAGCATCAATTTCAGACAAAGCCAGGGTCAGAGAGCAGGCACACAGTGCAGTCGGTCATACCTGGCTGGCTGTACACCGTCCCAACATCCATCTTGAATGTTCCTATGCACGTTCCCAGGAATGGTACTTTCTTTGAGTGAAAAACCTGCAGACAGCACAGATCCCCCTAAGCATGAGATGTGGGCACATTCAGGCATCTCTGAGGAGGACAGGAACCCCTAAAAGATGCCTGTTCCAACGCACAGCTCAGGCAGGGGCTGCAAGCTCCTCATGAATATTCACCCATCTGAGTTAGCCCTGGGACAAATCCATTCCTGCCCAACCATTCCCACAAAGACCACCAGCCCATAGCCCATAGTCAAACCTGGGCCAAAGCAAATTCATGTGCAAACAATTCAGCTTCTTCTGCCAGCCCCAGATAAGCCAAACCCTTACAACAGACCAAGGGTAGATCTGCTTTACTGCAAGGAGTCCTATTGTCCATATCCTGCTGGGTCAGGGCAGAGCCATACCCCTACCAGGCTAGTGTCTCTCCCAGAACCTGAGCCTTTCTCGGTGCTTGCTGAACCCACACCAGCAGAAGAGACATGCAGCCTTTCACAGGGAAAGTGCTGGAGATCATGTAGCAAAGGAAGTGCTGTCTGGGTTTAGCTATCTTCACAAAAGCTCCACGTCTTTGGGAAGCCCCGGTGCTGTGGAGAAGCCCCTGCACTTGGGGCCAGGGCACTTCTGAAGGCTGCTCTCTACCTGCCTGGGCCTTTCTGCAAGCACAAATCACTGCTGAGCTCCCCTCAGCACAACCTGCACGATGAGGCCCCAGGGTAGGGGCAGCAGGGAATTGCCCCCAAAACAGCAGGGCAGCAAGGCAAGGGGCAAGAAACGGCCCCAGAGGCCCCCTTCAGTCACTGGATGCAGAGACAACCTGACACGGAGGAGGTGGGAAGGCAGCAGTGCCCAGTGCTGGCTCAGAGCAGGGCTGGTCTCTGCCCCACCGTGGCCACAGGAAGGCTCTTTGGTCTCTCTGTGGGACAGATGCCTCTGGCTGGAAAACCTGGCTGGTACTGGCACCCTTGCTTTGCCTGTCACTCCCAGCGTCTACATGCAGAAGCATCAGCCTGTACTGACGAAGGATGAAGAGGAGGACATACTCACTGAGATCTCTATAAGTTTGTGCAATAAAACATCTCTTGGCTCGTGGAATTCGAACAAAAAATACTGAAAGAGAAGAGCAAGACAGCTGTGCCCCAGGCTCCCAACATGGTCCCACAAGTGCCTCTGCCTGAGGGCAGCTGCATCCTGAGCATCCCCTGCAAGGATTGCCCCAGCCACTTGGGACACCGGTAGGGCAAGGACAGAGCCTCTGTCTGTATCACATACTTCATTGTAGAAGGGGCAGTTTGTTGACTTCTGTGTCACCATGTGCCTCTTCTCCTCTCCAACCTTGACTACCACAAAGGGGTTAATGTTCACGCCCACCAGCTTCTGTGCTTCAATGATATTAATCCCAACCTGAGAAAATGTGGGAGAAAACCTTCAGATCAGTACTCTCCTCGTTTCCAGCTCCATCTTGAGCTTGTTTCAGCGATACCAGTATGCAAACGTGCAGGGTCCTCTCGCCCTGGACATTCGGGGCAGGCAAGAGCATGGCTGCTGAAATCTGCTATGAGCAGGACAAACCAAAATGGTATTTGAGATCCTTGTTTCTTTCAGACATGTAAAGAAAGTAAGTGTTAAATCCCCAGCACCTTTGACAAGAGTGGCCTCCCCAGCAGCACTATTCCCCCTCAGTTCCTGATCCCAAGGAGATGCAAAACCATTGCTCCCACATGGTGGTGTCCACAGAGCATCTTGGAGAAGATGCTCTTTGTACCTTCTGTCAATACCTCTGTTGGACTCCTACTGAGATGGACACGATTGGAAATACTGGAATGTGGCCACCTCATTTGCTGCAACTGGTTAAGAGTCTAAGATACAGGAGAAATGTTGTCATATTTGCTCTCAGTACAAGCAACTAGGCAGTTGTTAAGGTGAAGAATAATAGCTTCAAGAAAAGGATGGTAGGAAATTCCAGCCCTGCAAAAGCTTCTTGCTTGGTCAATAGGACCCAGTCCTGAAAAGCAGGAGACCCAAATGTGAGTCCACATTTATTTACATCCAGGGAAGGATTTAAATCCATTGCCAGGCTGGGAGACCTGCCCTGAAATCTGCAGGGCAAAAGATGGAACTGAACTCCATTTCCAGACTTCACAGTGGTTTCAAATAAACCTGATGTCAGAGCATTGGCCAGAGCCACAGCTTTAGACTATCTTCCTGTCAATCTCCAAGAAAGCCCCTGCAGCAGCCCTCTACCCCCTGTCATGACCCGCTGGCAGACATCAGCCCAGGCTGGGTGCTCTCCAAAGCTCTGTTCAGGCAGTGTTTTGCAGTGGCACATGTGACTGTCAGGCCGATTCCCTTCTCCTGTACATCCATAGCTAACTACATGGCCGAAAAAGAAATTCTGCTCTGGACTGGCTGATGTTGGAGCCAGCACTCATTCCCCCATTTGGGGAATCTCACACCTTGCCCAGGGAAGCCACACAAAGCAAGAGGATGTCTTGATGCTAGAGGCCTCGCTGGGGTATGTGGCAATTGGAGAAGCCCAAGCCCACAGCAAGACAGCGAGGGACCAGCTGCGGAGCCAGAGGCAGCTGCAGGGATGCGCACCCAACGCTGCAGTACCTGGAAGCTCTGCGGGGCTGGAGTGGCAAAGAGGTCCCGTGCGGAGCAAAGTCTGGAGCGGCTGCATAGAAAAACAACCCAGGTGAGCAAGTCTCTTCATCTGCATGGACCTGAGCAAGCCCCCACCAAGGGAAGCAATCGAAACACTGGCAAATAATAGCCTCTTGCCCTGGGAATGAGCAAGTCCCTGTTTGGGGCCAATAGTGATTGAAGGTTTCTGATATTTCGCAGAAGCAGAATGCCAAGAGGTGCAGGATTCCCTTTCCACCCCAGGGCCCAAGCAGGGGCAAGAGAGAAGAGCATGCCATAGATACCTCTTCACAGGGCTGAAGACAATGCCTGAGACCTCCATCTCGGACACATCATAGAAATCTTCTTCCTCCTCTTCCTCATCAGTCTCCAGGCCTTTTGCCAGCTTCCTGCCCAGCACAGCAGCCTTCCTGTCCAGTTCACTCGCTCTCGGCCCCTCGGCTGCCCTGCAAACCCCCCTCCACATCACATGACGCATCATCAGCCCTGATGAGCCGATTGTGTGCTCCTCTCCACCTGGGAGGGTGAGCTGAGACACTCAAGTAGGGCTACTTACTCCAGATCCTCAAATCCAGGATTGCAGATGATTAACTCTGAACTGCAAGGAAAAGAGGTACTTTGCTGAAAAAAAAAAGTAAGAACTCACTGATGCATTTAAGTAACAGTGCCACAGCCATGTTCCTTCTTGGCTTTTGGCAGGGTCATGAGTGTCCTCCTAAGCAATGCTTTAACACGGTTCACCCTGTGTGTCTGCTGCTTTGCCTCTGGCACTCCAGAAGCGACAGTCCCTAGACCTGTCACCCTGTCTGTCCAAACACCGCATCTTCCCTGGCTTTGGGCATCACCTGCATACAGGGGGCCTGAGGTTGCTACAGTCCAAAGCCATGATCTCTGCAACTTTGCAACCACAAAGTCTTGCTCCCATCAGCCAGGAAGGCTGCAGAAAGGCTCTTGAGTCCGAGAGGACTCCCAGGGCGCAGTGGGTCGTTGTAGTAATGGGCTCTTTGTGAAGACAAGATATTTTCTTTCCTAGAACCCTGCTTACTTATCGATGCTGTAAAGCAGAGATGCATTAGCCTGGCCAGAGGTGGAGAGTAAATGAGGCTGGACTGCATCCCAAAGGCTGCCACTGGCAAAGGTGGCTGTACAAGCTGCCTGGAAATCTGCTCCTCTCAGGATTTCAGTACCTGTCTTTCATCTGATAGACAAAGTCCTCTTCAACCCAAGTCCCAGCTGAGCCATCTGGAGGCTGGTAGCGCAAATCCAACTCAATGTAGATCTACAAACAGAAAACAAGACTCCCTGAGAGCTTGGTAGCCACAAAACAACTGCAGAAATGTCACAGAAAAAGGGAAGAAAAAAAGAAGTGAGATGCTGGTGGAAAGAAGGGGAAGGAAGGGGGCCACAACCCCACAAGAAGCCTATTTATACCAGACTCTCCTTGTCTGCCATCAATAAGCTACAGTTAACCAAACTCCCTCCCCTGCAGCTTCCCAAAGTCCAGGGTTCACTGAATAAAAGCTGGTTCAAATTTCCAAATCTAAAATATATGACGGAGAGGCCCCTGAGAGCCATCTTGGGGCACTTTTATCAAGGGAAGTGGGGAGAGCCCTGCAGCAGAGCAAACTAATGTGAAGGGGTTTGGAGCGATCTCTCTGTAAGAGGCACAAGACAGCTGTCAGAGGATCTCGAGGCATGACAGCTTGGTTTAAAACACCACAGAAGCCATAAGCACACCCAGAGTCTGCACCACAAGAGACATCAACTTAGCATTAGTGATGAAGAAGGACGGTCAGGCAAATATGGGGCATGTTGGGTATCAGCACAGCCAACACAGTCTGAAAACACTTGGTCTACAGGTGACCAGCCTCATCTCAAACCAACAGAAATGCACAAGAATGTCCCAGCATAGGCCAAAATTGCAGCCATGGAAAAGGTCACTTCTCAGCAGGCTGGAGGGGACGTACAAGCTGGGTTCATAGCTCAGTCCCTGGAAAACACATGTTTCTGGGAGGAGAAATACAGTCCAAGAAAGCCAGTAGCACAGTGGCCAGGAAAGACAGCAGCAAAGGCTGGATGGATGCAGAAGCCTGAGATAAAGCTGGGTGAACAGCTGAGGCTCTGAAAAAAACCTCTTCAAACCACCAAGTGAAAAAAAGGGGTGCAAATAAGTCAAGTCCCAGAGAAGAACAAGACTTGAAACAGCAAAACATTTTGCTAAAGAAGCAGTTGTTGAAGCAGCCTCTCTCCCTTGGGGACGTGTCTCTTCCCAGCTGAGCTGAGGGAGAGTGTCTCAGGGTGCTCTTGGATGGACGTCCAGTCTTGCTTGCCCTATTTCCATCCCCCACTGCCCCTTGTGCAGGCAGGGCTACACAATAAAAAGCTACCCTAGCAAAATGAACTGTGGTTGGTTTTTGGTTGGAGTGGCACATCAGCATGAGGGCTGCTGTTAGCACAAAGGAAGAGGCAGTCTTGGGCAAAGGGTTGGGCCGCAGAGCAGCTCTGACCGTACAGCAGTGTAAATGACCCTAGTTTGGTCCTCTCAAACCATCGCCAGCATGCAGTGCTGCTAAAGGGTTGATCTAGTCCCTGTCCCTTTGCTGGCACAAACATTTATGCAGTGAGCTGCATTGGGCTAAAAATCATCCTGGAAATGCTCAGTTTCCCCCTGGACCTGCTTCCTGATCCAGCCAGCTCAGCAACATGGGAAAGCCATGCCTGTGCTACTCAGGCTGGTGGTCTGGTGGCCACAGTGCTGCATGCCATGTGCAGGGCAGAGTCAGGTTGTGCGTGGGAAGGGCAAACAGGGACACAGCACATCGCAGGGCTGCCCGCCCCCACCTCTCCTCCTCCCAGCCCTGCCTGCAGCCCTGGCACTGATCCCTGATTGTCCGGCACTGACTGAATCACGCCTGCACACCCAGCTGGCAGGAAACGGCTCATTTTTGCCCCCAGTGCCAGGGTGGGAGGGGAGTGGGACCAATGGCATGGAGCAGAAGGGCAGACACGTGTCAGAGACACTCACGCTGCCCCAGACCATCATTAAGCCATCTAGTTAGCACTGGTGTTTAACCCAAAAGCTCACCGCAGGTCCCGACGCGCCCTGGCACCTTCAGCCTCACACTGGCCCACGCCCTTCTGGATTCTCCTAGAACCGCTTGATGTGCGTGAAGTGGCTGCACCCCTGCGCAGAGACGGCACAAACGCCGCAGTTCTCCCAGGCTCAAAGCAGCGCCTTGGACCCCCCCTCACAGTCTCAAATCCACCTCGGAGGTGCCACACAAGGTTTCCCACAAACCCTTCCTGATTGCTGATGGTCAGGCTGCCCAGAGAGGACTTACATCGGTGACTCTGTGGTTCCGGTCGATGAGAGCCTCCCAGAGGATCAGTCTCCCAGATGTCATCAGGTGCTGAAGGCTGAGAACAAGGGTACCAAGAAGCCTGGAACAAAACCAGAGGCTGCAGTAATACCATATGTAGAATCAGTGCCTACATGCAGGGGGAAGAGAGTACCATGATCTCTGTTCTCCTGCTCACAGTCCCTCCGAGCTATGGTGAAGGCAGTGAACTGCTGCAGCGCTTTCCATAAGGGGGTATGGCAGCCAAAACACCCAAGATCCACTGACCCTGCAGCAGGTCATGCCTCCGCTCCAGTCATGCCCAGGCAGCTGCTTGCAACCGAGCTGCCATCGACGGTTAAAGTCTTGTGCAGATCCAGCCCCCACTGAGTGTGAGGGAGCTCTCCCCTTCGGCAGACCTGGGCTCTGTGGGAGCCAGCCTGGGCTTGGGCACCCGGAGGAGTTGGGGTGACTCTTCCCAGACAAAACTGGGAAACAGAGGTTCCACACAAGGAAATACAGAAATAGGACATAAAGCCATGGCCAGAGGGATGTCTACAGCAAGTTGGGACAAAATTTATCTACTCCAAAGGGGCTTCTCCTTGGGGAAGGGTTATCTGGTTCCCTGCATGTGGCAGTAACACATGTGGGATTGCATTCAGACCCTCCTAATCCCACCTTGCATTACTGCTGTCTGAAGCCAGTTGGTACGCTGGCCTCCCATCTCCCCAGGGCAGCTCTGCTGGCAGCCAAGCTAAGCCCCACATGAAGCAGAGATTCCGACTGCCTGCTGGAAACCACTGTTAGAGTGTTTCACTGTCTGCCCTGGATCAAGACAGGAGGAATGATTCTCCAGTCACCTCAGCTGTGAGCTGCTGATCTCTCATATGCCCTCTCACATCCCTCTTCTCTGAGACACATTCACTGTCTAGTCTCCTGCCCCCAAGGACAGTCTCTCCGCTCATCCCCCTCCTCTCCAGCTTTTCCAGGTCAGTGCTGCTGCCACAGAAAGGCTGCACATGAAGAAGTTCAGAGACCACAGATTGATACAAGGGCATAACAAATTTTTCCCTTCTGTCCTTCCACAATCTTTCTATTTATTTTTTACCATCATAGTATGCTGACCAACTGTAATGTCCATCACCTGCCATTACTCTGCTCTCCAGCAGCAGAGGAGGTGTGTGGATAGATGCTGTCAGTCCAGTCATTTGCCATTGGACTTCTTTGCTCAGCACCATCAGGTCCTGGTGGTATGTTACTGGTTTTTTTTATCTATTTGTCCTATAGCAAATTTCTATTGACATTTTATATTGACATTTTATATTTATATTTTATATTGTCAAATTTCTATTGACATTTTAGTAAGAGACTATTCCTCTGATCCACCTCCCATGAGGAAAGCATCTAGTAAACAGTGACACAAAGTTCAGCCACATTTGCTGCTCTGGTTTTATCTTTAAGTGTCTCGCATGTGCTGTACTCCTCTGTTTCCTCCACACCCTTTCTGGCAGGCCTGTGATGGCTTTGAAAAGGTTTGTATTATTAGCTGCCTTTAGAACATTGTTCCTGTTGAGTTGCGTTCTTGCGTTTTGCTTATCAGAGCTGGCACCTTTCCCTGATGTTTCACGTGTCCTGGAAGGACTTGCCTCTCCTCCCTTGCTTGTTCCACCACCATTTCTCAATCTGTCACCTCTACTCTTGGGTTTCCCTGAAGTGTTTTACAACTGCTGGAATAGACACTGAGTTTACAGTATTGTGTCGGTACCACCTAGAAGCATTTGAAATTCTGGCTGATCCTTTAAATTTAAATTGCTGTCTTTTTTAAAGATTAAACCACACTGCCACAGGCTCAGGGCTTTTCCCCACTGATGAATTTGGGTGCAGCATGATCATGGTCACCATGTGGATGTACAGAGTGAGAGCAGGTCCCAACTCTGCTGCAAGTCTTGCCCTTGTAGCTCTGTTTTTCAGGGCCCTATTTTACCTTTGTCCCACCTGGGGGTCTGATCTGGATCCTTCAGTAGTCTCTGTTACTTCTAGCACAACTAAATAATTCCCCTTATTTAACTTAATATATACAGCACTGCTGCCCCACCAGAACAACCAGCTCCATCCCTCTTCTATAGTTTGTATCCTGCTCATCTTCCTTCCACCAAATTACCAATAAACATTTTCTACTCCCAGTAGAAAATTTAAAGCCCACTATGTCTCTTCCCCAACCTCTACTGGTGACCTGAACAACCAAAGGACCTACCTGTTACTGAAAACCTTGCTGCAGTTGTAAACCTTAATTGACAGTGTTTCTCCCATGACGAGCTTCCCATAGTGAGGCCAGCGAAAGAGCTACAAACAAACAGAGCAGGAAGAGATGACAGTTCATTCCCAGACACATTTCCTGTGTTTGGTGGCTGGTTGGTCTCCTCTGCAAAGTAACTGTATGAATGACCGTACAAAAAGCTGCTGCACCACAAAGTTACCTTCCTGGTGGCCAGGGCAGACCTTGCAGCTGGGAATGAAGGAAGGATGGGGAGGGGAGTGAAAGCCCCTCCAGCAGCACAGGTCAGCTGCTAAAAGAAGCCGTAGTACCATCACCCTGGAAAAAGGAGATGCTTGTACCTGCTGAGGTCCCTGAGCGGGCAGGTTTTGGGGTGAGACAGGGCGTAGGAAGGTACAGAGGTACTTGGGGAGAAGAGATCACCCAGGGCAGGGAGCCATCAGGCTCAGGCACATCACAAAGCTGTGCCCCCAGGCTGCAATTCACCTGACACCCAAAGCAGCCAGCTGCCCTGGCTGGCAAGGGGGAAAGGTCCCTCCTGCCCCCAGTCCTTCTCTCCTTTCCCCAGGCGGCACAGGGGCATCCAGACAGGGCCAGAGACAAGCC